AATGTAGTAAATAGCACTACAGTGGAACCTGGGTTCTCAAGCTTAATGTGTTCTGGAAAGCTGTTTAAGAAGTGATTTGTCTGAAAACTGAATCATTTTCCCCATTATAAATAATGTAAATTGAATTAATTTGTTCCAGACCCCCAAATAATTCTGTTTTAATCTTTCTTATATACAGTACTAGAGGCCCGATGCACAGAATTCATGCAAGAGTAGACCTTCCTTCTCCCAGCTGCTGGCACCGGCTTCCCTCTGGCACCCAGGACCCAGGCTTCCCTCCGGCCCCAGCTTCATCCAGAATGACATCCAGTCCAATTAGCATATTAGCCTTTTTATTATTATAGATATCTAATGTACTGTTTAGTCTATAAACATATACTCTTATTAAATTTATCTAAACACGCCCTTCTAGCCTTAAGAAGATAATTTTCAGCACTTGTTCCAGGGGTGTCTTTCAGGTTAGTATGCAGCATCTTTGCTTTTTCACATAGCACTGCCTCCAAAAATGCTGTCACCAGCTGCGTTTCTTTTCTCCAAACCAACAACTGCTTCGCTCCCTCTTCAACTGCCTGGGATCATTGTTTCTTTCACACCCTTAGCAATAATAATACTCTTAATGACTCTTTAAAAAAGTATTTAAATTGTACTAATAGCCCATTTCACCAGCAACAAATGCAAAAAAAAAAAAAAAAAAAAAAAGAAAAAAGAAAAAAGAAAAAAGAAAAAGAAAATATTCATGCCCTAGCCCGTTTTCTCAGTGATTAGAGCATTGGCCTGAGGTCTGAAGGGTCATGGGTTCAATTCCTGTCAAGGGCACATACCTCGGTTGCAGGCTCTATACCCAGACTCTGTTGGGGTGTGTGTGGGAAACAACCAATCAATGTGTTTCTCTCACATAGATGTTTCTCTCTCTCTCCCCTCCCCTTCCACTCTCTCTAAAAATAAATGGAGAAATATCCTCTGGTGAGGATCAACAAAACAAAACAAAATAGTCACAGCACAATTTCCTGAGATGTTAATGCAGGGTTAGCGGTAAAATGATTCATACTGGCACACTCTCTCCTTGGTGGCCTGAGAGATGCTTGTTTTCAGGCTGTTTCAGCATGAAAGGGTTGTCAGGCCCAGAACTGAATTGTTCCAGATGGGAGACATTTGAGACTCAAGGTTTAACAGTAGTTATTTTTTTCTTGGCACAAATGTAATTTTAAAAGTTAGCAGCAAAAGTTTTTCTCATTTGCAATTTATACTGAAGTTTAATGGCATCCCATAGCCTTCATCTAAAACAGGATTTCTCAGTCTTAGTTCTACTGATGTCTGGGCCTGGATAATAATCCTTTGTTGTATGGGTCTACCCTGTTCATTGTAAAATGTTTAGTGGAATCTCTCTCTTTATCTGCTAATACCAACACCCTCTTCCTCAGTTTGACAACCAAAACATTTCTAAACATTGCCAACTGTCTCCTGGGAGAAAGAGAGGAACAAAAGCACCCCAGATTGAGAAACACTTATCTAAACAAATTTGCTATTTGAAAACATGGCACTTCATTTTAATTTTTTTTTTTTTGAGTTGGGCTTTAAAAAAATACTTTGGAAACAATCTTTTAAAAATGCAGTTCAGTAATAAACATAACCTCTTAGAGACCTATGAACCCACAAACCCAGTGAAAAGTCAGTGGTTATTAAGCCAGTAGTGATGTGTGCTATGAAGTATGTTGAAGAGACTAATTTTCCTGCTGAGTAGTGTGGTTGGACTGCCCAACCAAGATGGGCTTTCTTGCCAAAACTGGTTTGGTTCAGTGGATAGACTGAAAGGTCCCAAGTTCGATTCCAGTCAAGGGCATGTACATTGGTTGCGAGTACATCCCCAGTAGGGGTTGTGCAGGAGGCAGCTGGTCGATGTTTCTCTCATCATCAATGTATCTAGCTCTATCCATCTCCCTTCCTCTCTGTAAAAAATCAATAAAATATATTTTTTATAAAGGATGGGTTTTCTTTACACAATTAATACTTCTGTTATTTTTTTTTTAGTAGGTATTGAAAAAAAACTACTAATACTTTTTATCTCATCATGTTGATATCTTTTGATGTCATTTACGGCAAGGAAATTCAGACTAATTATTAGTAGGAGCATATACTTCAGAATATGACTCAGATAGTCTGGGTCTTTACCTGTAGACTACTTTTGAGGTGGCAGTGCCAGCACAGGACCCGGAAGAAGGTAGCACTTTCTACACTGTCCAGCCCCGTGTGGACTGCAGCTGCACTGCCGAGGTGAGCAGGTTGTTTCTGCTGTTTTGCTTTGATCTGGCATCCACCCCTTCAGCCACAGATCTGTGCCTGCACTGAGACTGTGAACAGCTCCATGGTCCTACTTTTTGGTGGACACATTCCCCTCTCCTTGGCAGTTAGACATTGGCGGCTGAGAGTGCAGCCCTAGGTCCAGAACAGACTCGGGTATCTGTGGCTAGGAGGCCTTCCCAGGGTTCCCCAAACCTGCTGCTGCCCCATCTATAGCGCCCACAGGTGCACACTTCCTTTCTGTGGGCCCTGGAGCTCCCAGAATCAGGGTGGAGATGGGAGGCAGCAGAGGGGTCCACAGGGCCTTTGTGGACCCTCGGCTGAGCAAATGGGATGCCCACCCATCCTGGGGTGCCTGGAGCTGCCTGGAGCAAAGCCAAGGGTGCACCAGGCTGCCCTGACCGCCTGAGCCTGGGCCCTTTGCAGCTGCTGCAGCTTTGACTGGAAGGATGTCTGGAAGGTCATCCAGAATATGTCCACCCTAATTAGCATATTACCCTTTAATTAGTACAAACTTGCTTAATTAGACCTTTCTGACTTAAAAATTTTCCAGCCAAATGAAGCACCCCAACTTCTTTCTGGTAGCCACCAGCAACACAGCAGTAAACATTAACATGAAGCAGATTATTATTGTGGATTACACAGGGAGAACAAAGGGCAAAATATTTAACTGCAGCACTGTTTGACTATATTCTGTGCAGTAAGAAAACGTGAAGTAATTTTCAAGTTCCACAATTTCTTACTTCTATTCAGGTCAAGTTTCTAAATTTTCTAAATTTCCATTTTCTGGCTAATGAAAATAGGATTTTATAGAGTATCCTATCTACTTATTTCAGGACTTCTGTGAGGATCAAATGAGGCGCAGAAAACGCTTCACAGACATTTGGTTAGTGTAAAATGTTTGCACCCGTTTATAAAGCAAGTCATGTTCCTGGGCAGAAGAAACTTAAAGGAGGCTAGTCACTATGGAGAGGAAGCCGAGTGTTGCTACGTGACATAATTACCTGGTGTCCACAGTGACTATTTCTGGGCTAGGCTGCATTTTGCACCATGGGGTGTTGGCAGCATTGGCTACGATTTGATGGGGTGTTGCTCCAGGGTGGTTGCAGTGCCTGTGTCCCACTGAAGGGAAGCCGAGTGTTGCTTTGTTGGCACCAGGTCTGTGGTGCCATTTCTTTGTAAATGGCCAGTGCAAGTCACAGCAGTTCCTGTGTTGAGCATCTGCTCCCACGTAGTCTGTGCACATAACGACCGGTCAGTTAGGAGGACACATATTAGCTATACACACACACACACAAACACACACTGGAAACCCATAATTATATTAACCACTGTCACCCAATAAACTCAATTTCTTAAAGAACAAGAAAATATTGACCAAAGCATATTGCAAAACAGAAGCAGGTTGTAGCGATGGACTACTTTTGCTGGGAAGACAGTAGAGATGTATTATCCTTTACATGTGTATTGCTAACTTAGTGAACACACATCTCTAAGGCTATAGAAAAAATACTGCTTCAGGAGAATTGGACTCATTTCCTCATCTATGATTTTGCATTCTCCTGCTTAATCTTTCTTTGGGGGATTATGGGCCCTCTGCGAAGGACTTAACATTAATAATTCCACTTTAGTTATTAATATTACACACTATAGGCATGGTGCACGAAATTTGTGCTTCTGCCTGCCAGCCTGATCATCCCCTAACCACTACCCTGCCAGCCTGATTAATGCCTAACTGCTCCCCTGCCAGCCCAATTGCCCCTAACTGCTCTCCCTTACAGGTCTGGTACCCCCTAACTGCTCTCCCCTGCAGGCTGGGGTCCCCCCTCCCACAAACTGCCCTTCCCTGCAGGCCCAGTCAGCCCCAACTTCCCTCCTATGCTAACCTGGTCACCCCCTTACCTAACTGCCCTCCCCTGCAGGCTTGATTGCCCCAACTGCCCTCCCATGCAGGCTTGCCCCCTTCCAACAGCCCTCCCCTGCTGAACACCTTGTGGTAGCCATCTTTGACCACATTGGGGCAGCCATCTGTGTAGTGACAGTCAATTTGCATATTAATCTTTTATTAGATAGGATTGCTTTGTTTTGGTTGAGGTAAGTAGGAGTTTAGGGTGCAGACAGTGCCATTAAGTTGGGCCAAAAAGTTAGGATCCTCTGATTTGCTGTTATACTATTGAGCCTGCATGACTAGACCAGGCCCACCACTACACTGACAGTCATTTCCCCAGTTCATCACATAAATCTGGTCTGCAATTTTCATTCTATCAGATCCCTGTGTTAACATTTGAATTTGTAAACTCCGCCAGGACAAAGCTTGGGCTAGCATTCCAGAGTATGAGTATTCCCAGGTAAAATTTTACTTTTTAGAAGAAATACATTTGAGGTATCAGTGCTTGCCTCGTGTGTTTCTTTAAGATCTGAGAAACAAATATATACACATTTGTTTACATATAAAATCTGAGCCAAATTCTCTATTCTCATCATAACTAAGGAATGACATTGATAATGTACCGTTTCAGAGTCCTTTCTTTTATCTCTGGCTAAGAAAAGCTATACTGTACAGATGTAGTTACAGGTACTAGATTTATCCACCCACTTATAATAACCAAAACCAAAAACAAGAGACAAAATACAAGAAACAATGGTTTTCATGATAAAATAGAAGTTTATATTTTCAAATAAACACAAAATAGACCAATTAATTCTGAATAAGTAGTAACAACTTTATTTTAACGCAAAGTGCTGAAATGCCAAAAATATTTTCAGCAACAAGATACCAAAAGTATGTATCTCATCAACATGAGCTGATTAAAAATGAGGCTGAAAAGTTCGATATAAGTCTTTATACATTTGAAACTTGAATATCAATTTCCCCCAGAACTAAAATTTAAATAACTTTAGCAGAATTTTATCTTCAAAAGTGGGACTCACTTAAGTTTTATCTTCATTCTAAAAACCTGAATGCACAATTATCTGGGTTACAGTATTCAATGATAAACTCTAACAGAAAAAATTTAAATATAAGAATTCCTTTTCAAACATTAAGTCCACATACTGCAAGCAGAAAACACGGTGTGATGATTTAATTCCTAGTGAAAAGGAAGTCTTGCATATGGTAGGCACTCTAAATTTATTCAAATGGACCTAAAATTTACATCATTCCATGAACACTTAAATAAAGTAGAGCTCATAATCTGTATAAAAGGTTTGCAAAATACTCCTGTGTGTGAAAGTGCTGTCTTTATAATCTGAAAACACTAAAACCCACCCACCCACCTTATTTTGCAAGAATATATTGAATATTTTTATTTTATTCAACAAAGAGCATGGAAGTCCAACTTGGAATAATTCAATACTTGAAGTATACTTGGCTATGAAAAAAGCTTGTGAATATAACAAAACAACTTACTGAAGTCCCCAGGGTTATATTTTAGTAACATTGGGTAGCATCTATGATTCACAATTTTATAAAGAATTCTGCTTAGGTTTTAAAATTTATGCACAAAACTTAAATGGGTAAGTAAATTAGTAATTATACTTTTGGCAATTTAAGCTCTAACTTAGGTATAGTTTTTTAAAAGCCAATAATGTTCATGACATTTTAAGAGATCATTAATATTTTAAACTTAATTTTAGAATTAATGATGTCCTAAAAAGGCACTGTTTGTCATGCAATAAATTAGTCACACTTTTGAGAGACTATCAATCAACTGTCCCAAGTAAAGCACTTTTAAATGATATATTTCAACTAGCTTGAACTTTCAATGTTTAACTTGAGTCCTAGTTTTAAAAATTCACTCTTTTGAATATATCACACACAAGTACACTCACGCACACACATGCACGCAAGCGTGCACACAGATGCCTAAATATCCACATAATACATGCAAGGTTCTCCAATTACTATTTTAAGACAACGACACACGAATATTCAAGGAGGTAACAATGGCAGCCATAATATTATGGCACCTTCATATTTGTGCTCCAAATACCAATACACATTAAAATTCAAAAACAAAAAAAGGCACAAATTTCCCTATCTGAAGCTAAAGAACAGTTTTCCAATGTTTACTTTTGTATTTATGTAATGTTTAAAACCAGTCACTACTTTTTAAAATAAGTTCTGTTTGGATGACAAAAGAGAAACAGGAGCAGGCTGATAATCAAAAGGCAAGACTGCTCTGCACAGAATCAATGCCTACTGAAAACAATGAATTTTAATAACAAAAAAAGGCTATTAGAGCAATCATTTCAGAATACATTAACAGTTTTCTATCACAGCCTCAAGAACCCACACAATACCAAAAATATACATAATAAATAAAAAAAATAAATCAGCTACTATATGGTTCTGTTAGTATAAAGGTAGGCATTATATTATCTGAAAAGTGGACATTTCTACAAACATGGATCTTCTTACAGCACAGTGTTTGACGTTTTTGGTACAAAATGTACTACCAAACTAAAATAATACTTATAATAAAAACCTTAAGATTTTCAATAAACATGAAAACAAGTGAGGGAAATCTGAAATGTTCATTATATGGTATTAGTGAAGTCACTATAGTTAGAAATGTAGATTCAAGCAGTGAATTAATTCACAATGTGCCTTTGTGCATTTGATATACATGGGTATACCAGCTTTTTTTTTTTTTTTATGACAACAAAATTCTATAGCCCAAGGAAAGAGTTTTTGTTTTCTTATAAGACCCAGGCAAAATATAAATTAAAATCTTAGTATATATATATGTGGGCATGTATTTTTTTAAATTGTACATTGCAAATTTAATGAATTCAATCTTATAGCAAAGTTAAGAAAGTGAACTTCTGCTTACTATAGCACTGATGAATATGTAAGAATCTTTCTTCTATCCCAAGGTATTCTTCCAATTTAAAACTTAAGTTAACATAACAAAGACTCAATGAAATTACAAAGAGCAAAATGAAGATATCTAAGAAATAAGATCTTTCAAACTCGTTAGTTATGGACAACAAATGTGTATTTGAAAGTGTTGTTCAATGTAAATATGAATCACTCTTGATATATTAGAATTGCTCGGTGAGAATCTAACAAAGAAATAACAAAAAAAACTTTTAAGACTTCAGGATTATTTTCCTTTTGTACTACATTAAAAAAACTAAATAAACAAATTATACAAATTTTAATCTGGAGAATAGTTATGTATGCAAATATATAGGTATGTGCATTTTTTTTCCAGTGACACACTTTTCCCCTTGTGGTCCAACATCAATCTTGCCTAAGAAGCACGCTGCCCTAGTTCAGGAGACCAGATGTGGAACAGACCTCTACTGTGAACAGAGCTATCCAACACTGAGCATGTGTATGTGTTTAAAGCTGAAATTCATTTATAATAAAGAACTGGCCCATGAAAAGCAGTTTATAAATAGTTTATCCTGTTCACATTATGCAGAATTTCAGTATCATCCACCACAATGTTATACAGTAACTGAAACAGAAAGGAAAAAACTAAGGGGATGAGGAAGGTTCAGAATGTGGCCTGACAAGTTTCTGAGGGTTCTCTCCTTTAGTCTGTAAATAGTATCTGTTTGTTGATTTTAGGAGAGTAGACCATCCAGGATTCACGTATTGTTCAGATGCCTTTTCCAATGTGTGATAAAAAAAAGAATGAATTTAATTGAAATGGAAACCAATTTAACTACAATGAAGGATATCTTTATCTATTATATCACAAACAGCCAGTTACCTCCATCTGTCTTAAAAAATTATTTCAAAAGTTAAGACACAATTAACTATACCTTATTAATTCCCTCAAAAGCAAAAAAATATATGTACCATTCAGCATACAAAAGTTACACATTAAAAGTGCATATATCTCTCTCTTAATTGGCCCACTCATTGAATTTACATTTGGTCATCCTTACTTTTAACATGTACAGAATTCTTCATATAAATGTAGGCCACTATAAATTAAAAAAAAAATTAATTCAGCACAAAACATGCTTTCTTCTTATTGAAATCTTATCTTCAATCAGTTCTCAATAATTGTAAACTTGGATAAACCCACAAAGAAACACAAGCAAAGGTTTGTTATGCTTCTTAGTTTTCTAGACAGTTAACATATAAACATCACAAATTCTACTAAAAATTTGGGCCAACTCATTGCATAATTGCCCCTGAAATGAAAATAAATTAGAACTGAAGCAGTGTATTGCCATAACTTACCTTGAAGGTAAGCAGGTTCTCCTGTATTTATAGAATTCAGGCTGGAGACATTAACAGTTATCTCCAATACAAGTGCTTTTAAGAAACTAGTCTTAAACTTTGAGATAGCATAGCACAAACCCTAGAAAATTAATTTTGCTTTTCTGAAGCTAATGGAAGATCCTTTTGAAACTTAATATCTTCAGTTGTCAATATTACTGCATTATGGAGCTAGTGCAATCCTGCATAGCCTTGGTCAAAATGACAAGGCACAATAAAAAAATTAAAGTATCATATGAACAAGAGAAGTCACTGGAGATAATTTAAGGCCTTGAAGTGAGTTAGAGTATAGTCAGTCTAATTTAAAGCTGAAGAATAAACCATAAATTATCCACCTGAAATGCAAGCCATACGCTTTTTCAGCTTCTGTTCTGTGGACAAGACAACAGAAACAACTCTTGCTTATGGTTTGTCTATTAGAATTCTTCTGGACCTGGAGGAATAAAAGTCAATTCCATTTTTCTACAATTCATGGAAGATTTCAGGACTGTTTTAGCCGTTTGCGTGGAATGCCAAACTGTGGACACTGTGCAGATGCTAGTGCTCGGAAGGCTTCTGCTACTAAATGAGGGTGAGACTGAATCATGGACTTCCACCCTGATGTTTCCATTATGTCCGTTGCTTGGCTGAAAAATAAAATTAAGAGATATCTGTTAAAGAATACTTTTCAAAATGCACTGTTGTATTATCATTTTTTTAAATTTACAGATTTTAACACTGTCTCTGTATGTATTTAAACCACTTGAATTCATTAAAATCTCATTTACAAAATACCTTAGTAGTATTTCTGTAACAATTGAAACTATTAGAATTTCCTGGAAATTCGATTATCCTGAAGCATGTGTCACCTGTCCCCACAGTTTTTCCCATTGTTCCATTTCTGAAGTGGCTCTTTCAAGAGCTCTTTTCCCTGGCTTACACTCAGGTTTTTTTTCTAGAGTTGCAACTTTTGCCCTCTACTCTTTTAATATTCATTATTCATCCTACCTTATCCATTCATTGCAATTTTAACTATTATATTCAATAGGGACAACTACTGATTTGCTAAATCCCAAGTCTCCTACAAGGTTCATTCCCAACCACTTGTTCTCTTTACTTGGATGTGTTTCAAGTTCTAAAAATTCAGCATTGTTAGATAAGAAAAATTCAACATATCTCCCCTAACCCCAAACTCTTCCTCTGTCATTTCCAGTCAGCTAATGCTTCCACCATCCTCTCAGTTCACATTAGCAGCTGATCTCCAAGGGGACATAGCTTCAAGAATCCACTAAATTAGTGAAAAAAAAATTTTTTTTTTAAATAACCAGCAGTTTACTACATATAACTAATATCTGGATTCGGACTTATTGTAGATGAACAAAAGGCTTATGCAAACACTTAATTCTATGTAGGCAGATCAACTTTAAGTAAAAAACTGATGTCATCTTACTTGTTGTTCCAGTTTTTCCCATCTTTACACCCAAGCTGTCGAAGTACACTGCACCTGCATTGAAGATTTAAACACACTTAAAAAAGTCCGGTGAAAAATGTTGAAGGTGTCATGCCGCTGAAATACAAGCATAGCTTACCTATTAATAAAGTCTATGGCTTGTGCTTTCAACTGTTCTGCACTGTGCAAATCTGCAAGGACAAGGGTATCAGCAACATTTTCCACTGAGAGGTTACTACACAAAGCTTCTTCACACAGGACCTTCAGCCGTTCCAGTGCATACTATTCAAAAGGAAAACATAACCATTAAACATTTATTGAAAATAACAAGTTTTAAATACATGATAGTTGGACTTAGGAAATAAAGTTAAAGCACATTATACTTTGAACTAAGAGTATTTTAAAAGTCTTTAAATTATTTTTAACCTAATATGAAGAAAATATTAATGAGTATATTCGAGAAAGAGCAATTTCTTTAGGAAATTTCAATTTCTATAAGTGTAAAATATTATATATTTTAAAAATACGGTTTTATTCTTAAAAATCACATTCACCTTATTACTCAACACTTCTAATGAGTAGTTCTCTATTATAATGAACATGAGTGTACCAACCAGTATACTCACTGCATGTGTCACAATCCAATCCTAAAGAATTACAAAGCTAAAGAAATCATATTCATAACCACTAAAAATCTTTAGTGTATATGTTATAACATCTTTAGTAGCTTTATTGAAGATTAATTAACATACAGTAAACCATACTTATTGAAGTTTATACTTTGATAAGTTTATAGACATATAATCACCATTAAATCAAGATAGTGAACATATTAATCATCCCAAGTTTCCTCCTAAACCTTTGTAATCCTTCTCTTTCACCCCATCCCAAGCCAACACCTCATATGCTTTCTACTGCTAAAATTTCGTCCACAAAGTATAATTACTTTGAGATTCATGTGTGTTGTTGCCTGTGTTTATCAAAAGGTTAATGCTTTTTATTGCTGAGTAATATTCCATGTATATAAACATACCACAATTTGTTTATCCATTCACTGTTAATGAACATTTGGGTGTTTCCAGTTTTTAGCTATTACAGAGAAAGCTTCTATAAACCTTCATATATGTCATTATCTGGGCATATGCTTTCTTTTCTCTTGGATAAAAACCTGAAAGTGGGTTCATTGGGTCATATGGCAAGTGTAAAATGTTTTAAGGAACAGCCAGTCTTTCAAAATGGTTGTACCACAAACCTGAAAGTGGGTTCATTGGGTCATATGGCAAGTGTAAAATGTTTTAAGGAACAGCCAGTCTTTCAAAATGGTTGTACCACTTTATATTCCCATCAGCAGTGTATGACAGTCCTAATTGTTCTACAGCTTTGGTCTGTGTAATTTCTAGTTATTATGATATGTGTGTAAAAGAATCGTGTGATAATTTCAATTTACATTTCTCTAATGGCAAATGATGTTGAGCATCTTCTGACATTGATTGACATTATTTTGGAAAAAGGCTGTTCAAATATTTTCTATTTTTAGAAATAACATTGATTTTTTTTTTTTCGTTTGAGTTTTGAGTTCTATATATAATCTGAAATAAAGTCCTTTATTAGATATCTTCTGAATAAAAGTCATTCATCAAATACATACTGTCCAAATATTTTCTCTCAATCTTTTACTAGTCTTTTTGCTTTCCCGTGACTTTTGCAGAAAGAAGTTTTACATTGTATTGAAGTCCAATTATCAAATTTTTAATTTTATGTAGTGGTAGAGGCCCAGTGCACAAATTCATGCACCTTGAAAGCAACTAAGGGCTGAGAGGCTGCAGTGGGCACAAGGATGGGTCTCACTGCATCCTCCTTGCCCCTGTCCAGCCCCTCCTGCCATGGCCCCCAATCCCCTGTCTGCTGGCAGCCCTGCTCCCACTGCCACCACTCCCATGTACTGATGGCACCAGCCTCGCTCGCACTCACTTACGGCGCGGAGTGACTCTGCTGGCTGTGGGTGCTAGTAGGGCTGCTGGCCCTGATCGCCTCTCAGGAGCAGGAAGAGATGGAGAAGCCCTGAGGGGTGATTGGGGCCTGCACCTGCTAACCTGTTTCCCTGAAAATAAGACAGTGTCTTATATTAATTTTTGCTCCCAAAGATGCGCTAGGTCTTATTTTCAGGGGATGTCTTATTTTTCCATATGCTAGGTCTTATTTTCAGAGGATGTCTTATTTTCGGGGAAACACGGTACTTGCACCCACTGATTAGACCTGGTGCCAGGCGCTGGTTAGCAGGTGCAAGCAGCAGCTCTAGCACCAGCGGAGGGTGCAAGTGGCAGCACCAACGCCTACTGTGGGTGCAAGCGAGGCCGGTGCAAAAAAGTTTAATAATATTCAAACTTCCAGTCCATAAACAAGATTTATCTCTCCAATTATTTTGGCCTGACTGCATTTCACTTAGAAATTAATTGTAATTTTCTGTATACAAATCTTGAACAGTTTTTGTCTATGTATTTATTTTTGCCGATGTATTTAATATAGTTGATGCTCATGTAAATAGCATTTTTAATTTAAGTTTTTATTGAGAGTTATAGATTCATGTTCAGTTGTGCAACATAATAGATTCTATATACATGTGACAAAGTTCCCCTCAATGTTAACATTCCACAAAACAAGTACAATAACACTTTACATACATTCACACACACACACACACACACACACACACACACTCACATATGCATATACATGGATGAAAGTCACATGAAAATACTTTTGGAGAAAGCTCCCAATGTGTTCTCAGGATTGAAAACTACTGGCTATAAATTATTTGGCATTTCTGCACTGTTTCCCTACATTAAAAAAAAAAAATCACCATCATAAAAGAGCATAAAATTATCATTATTTTCTCTTATTACACTATTACATTAAAAAATCAATCTACAAACACAGAGAACTGAATTAGTTAATATAAAAAATTTTAATTATATATGCTGTTGTGTGTGTTCTTATAAAATAGTAAAGATACACTAAAACTATTGAGTTTATAATTTATTCTCCCATAAAAAATTTACTTTCTTCCATATAAAGATATTTTTGTCTTATTAATTAAAAAAATTTTCACTTCCCTATTTATCCCACTGTATGCTATTTTTAATACCCTCAAGAGCCACCTAATAGTATAAATTGATCCAGTATTTCAAATTATTTGGGGTTTTCATTTGATGACAGTGTCTAGATATATCAGAAGCTTGAGGACATTTTTCAGCTCTTTAAGACCTAATTACTTACTTTGTCTGCAGCTGCCAACAAGCTGTCAGCCATTTTGTCAAGGTTTGGTGCTTTCCCTGTGTAAATGAATCTCATCATTTCTTTAAAAACCTCGGGGTCTACATCGTTTATTTCCACTCGATTCTGATATTAAAAACAACACAAAAGAGTTATACTTAAAGAACACAGACACGCATACAAACCAAGCAGAAAATTTGACAGTAATTTAAAAGCCCCAAATCTGTACAACTCAAATATAGATTTTAAAATTTATCTTCAGTAAGCTATGTAGGCAAAGTGAAACACCAATCTAAGATGAAAGTATATGCACCAAAAACTACCATGTAGAAATATAAATCCAATTTCTTAATTTAAAAGAGTAAAACAAAAGTCTGTAGGCCAAACAAAATACATCAGCATGCAGTTTCTGACCTCTATCTTAGAGAAAGATGTCTATTAAGTTTTTCTTTGCAGAATTCCCAAGTTGTAATACAAAGCCTAAGAACCTGTAACTAACTACCTTTAAGCAAAAGAATGACCAGGTATCTTGCCTAGTAATACACAAATATGTAAACTGACTGTACCTCTGCTACACCCACAGCCAATTAGAGTGAGTATCAAATTAGAAAGCCAAAGATGGTGGCTGCCTAGCTGCTCCAGGTGAGGAGTGGCCAGGTGAGAGGGAGGGCAGGAGTGGCTAAGGAGCATAGTGCCGCATTGAAGACAAGACTGCAGACTCTGCAGTTTGCAGTGAAGATGAAGATGGCAGACTCCGGCTGGAGTCTGCAGGGAAGCAGTGAAGATGAACCAGCCTGAGTCTGCAGCAAAGATGAAGAAGGCAGACTCTGGCTGGAGCGAAAGCCTGGGACCCTGGACCCGGAGGACCGGTGTTGGAAGCAATGGGCGTCTAGTATGAGATAATTCCAGAGCACCCATTACACCTCAGAATTCTCCCTTTTGCAAAATGGCATGTACTATTATCTACTGGCACCTCACCTCTTTGCTTAACACATGCTCAAATCCAAAGAGGACTAGTTCCTTTTTTATTCCTATATCTTTGTAAATTTGGTTTCTCTCCTGGGATTAATCAAGCTAAATATCAAACAGTAAACAATAGCAAACTTTTCTGAACCTTTGCTAACAATAGCACTTGACACATCACTGATGTAGCTTGCTTGGAAGTGATCAGAAAGTTGATCATAATACCAGCCCAGACCAACAATCAAAGGAAAGAAAGCAGCTATTTTGTTGCAGCCTCTAGTTCTACAGAAAGAATAAAGCTGAGCCCATGTAAGTCCACTAAGGATCATTCACATGTAATGCAACCAGCATACAATCAACCTCTGATCTTTAATCTGGCATTTCAAGAAAGACAGGTAACAGAGAAACATCTGGGAAAAGCAAATGGGCATTATTTTGAGAACAGCTAATTTGTAATAATGTAATTTATACCATTTTTTGTTAAATCTAAGAAATAGCAACTTATAATAGTGGCTAAAATGTAGGCATTATTTTTGCTCTAGAAAACAAATTCCAAAATCAACTTATAAAATCTAGAAAGGAGAAATATACTTTTTAAATATATTTTTATTGATTTTGAGAGAGAGAGGGAGACAAATAGAAACATTAATGAGAGAGAGAGGTGTTGATTGGCTACCTCCTGCCCACCCCGTACTGGGGGTCTAGCCCATAACCTAGGCATGTGCCCTGACCAGGAATGAAACCAGGAATCACTTGATTCATGGGCTGATGCTCAATCACTGACTCACACCGGCTGGGCAAGAAATAGACTTCTTAACCAGAGAACTCCCAAATAGCTATGCCACGAACAGTCATTTGATAACGACCCTTTTGGATAAGAACTATCTACTTGTTTTTCTACCAAATGGACAACCAAATAGCTATTATTTAAAATATTCATCCACTTTAGGTTACATTGACTGTTCTGTTAGAGAACCCATTTTTCCCATCTTTCTATTTTTTTCTAAAATCATAGCATAACAACTGAGAACATGCACTGTACAGTCCACTATTCTACTTTTGCACCAATTTATTGTTAACCCTTAAACTATGGTTACCTTTTTGCTTTCTTCCATTTCATGTTCAAACATTGCATTAAAAACTGGGGATCGAGCTGTAACAAGATTAAGCATTATTATTTAATGCATACATTTATAACAGAAATGTACTATATTACCCAAAAGTAGAAAGTACCTGCAAGTACAGATTTATGAGCTCTAAATTCGTGTCCTCTCACAAAAAAACTGCAATCTGTAAATCTTGTGTTTTCCCAGAGATTACCTAAATCTTCTGCTAGTCGACATTCAGGAACCTTCAAAGTATTTGTATTAGTATGCCCTGATATATTTACTGAATCTTGGACCACACTCACCTAATAAAAAAGGGACAGTAAGAAAAACACTTTTACAATTTAATATCAATAATTAGTTACTAAGACTATACTTAAATTTCTTATCATTAAAATTATTTGAACAAGTAAATGCATTCCTGCTAAAGATGCTAATACCTGATAATTTAATTTAAGGATACAGTTTAAAGGTTGTAAAGCTACAGTCTAGGAAATACAATTTGGGAAGTATTTTAAGTGCTATTTCTACATGTTTCAACTCTGGTAAAACTGATTTAATTATATAGTTAAATTGATTTAAATTTTGAAGTATAAGAATTCTCACAAAAGCAACTATAGTTATTAAAAGTTCATGGGATCTTTTATTTTTTAAAAAAATCAACATTAAGAATACAAGTATGATTTAGTTTGATTTTCAGACCTTTTATTTACCTAATTAACTAATCAATAAAAACTGATATAATTTCAATATTGCTTTTATACAAACTCAAATATAAAATATGGATTAAGTTATTTCTCAATGAATATGACCACTGTCTACTGAATATAATCTTTTTTTAAAAATATATTTTATTGATTTTTTACAGAGAGGAAGGGAGAGAGATACAGAGTAAAGAGTTAGAAACATTGATGAAAGTCATCGATCAGCTGTCTCTTGCACGCCCCCTACTGGGGATGTGCCCTTGACCGGAATTGAACCCGGGACCTTTCAGTCCACAGGCCAACGCTCTATCCACTGAGCCAAACGGGTTTCAGCTACTGAATATAATCTTAAAACACTATTAAGTCTTATACATCACTTTAAAAGAATTCTACTATAAGAAATTTCAAATTACATTTAATAAATTGAAGAAAATACTACCTCAACACGAATATGTTTTAGAGTACATAAATCATTTTTTTAAAAAGTGCTATATTAGCCATTGTTTTTAAACTTTTAAGTTTTGTGGTCATTTCTTTCTTTTTTTTTTTTTTTAAATCCTCCCCCGAGGATATTTTTTCCATTGATTTCTAGAAAGAGAGATGAAAGGGAGGGAAGACAGAGAGAGAGAGAGAGAAACATCAATGAAAGAGAGACACACTGATTGGCTGCCTCCCCCACATGCCCCTACTGGGACTGGGATCCTGCAACTGAGGTATGTACTCTTGACAGGAAATTGAACCTATGACCCTTCTGTCTATGGGCCAACACTCTAACCACTGAACAACCAGATAGAGTTGTTGTTTTTTATGCAGCAATAGATACGTATGTTCATTTGAAAACATTTCAAGTGGCTTTTATTAAATAAGAATAGGTATAAATAAGGACACATATAAATACAGTAAACTATGTAGAACATGCAAATTACAAACAGGTAAATTGGACCAAACTACTAACATGCTAACACAAAGTTTAATAATAATCCAGTATAAAATATCTGGAGAATATTAAATCTCAGAAGTTCTCATTCATCTAGATGTACAGTATAAACATGTATTTCACTCATGTGAATGGGCACTTACAAAAAAAAATTTTATTGAGGAATTTTTAATTAATAATTTTTTCTTTCCAACTTGTATTATTAACCTTTTGGAATCATGTGTCATAGAAAACATCTAATCAATCACCTTATTTGGTAAAAGCTTTCTAAGTGAGAGCAAGAGAAGGTAACCAAAGTGTCACAATGCTAGTCAGTATCAGAGGGAGAGTAGACCTATATTCCCAGATTCCATTTTTACAGCACTCTTTGTACTGCACAATATTTCTTTAGATATACTTTTTTTAAATTAGCAGTACTACTTTAGTGCAATTATGATTAAGAAAGGATTTATCACAACACTCTTGTTAGATGCTTTCCTAAATATAAGTGCCAAAATATTTTGTATATAAAAATTTTCCCAGTCTATTAAGTTTTTAATTATCCAAATAGTTTCTAAAATTCTATTAACTACAAAATAGAAAAAAGCATCATCAATCTTTACTTGATTGCCTTGTTACACTGTTATAATTTAATGATACATAAACCAAATATGTTGGTTTTAATACTCAGGATTTAGTTAGGGATCAGTTTTTTATCACAGTATTTGTTCATAAAAAGTATTTCTTTGAGATTTCTACTAGACAGCAGGAACTCCATCAGTTCAATTACTTGCATAAAGTATGCAGAGGAGTTATAAAAATGTAATGATATTTAATTTAGGAATGGATTTCTTAGATTCTATACATTGCCTATTATCCTAACTAAAAACAGCACATTTAATGTAAAAATCTGGCAAAAATCTGGTAACAGAAGAAATGAAAGCATCAAAAAATAAAGCCATTATTATCAGGCTAAAACGTGATGTTACATTTGTATTTTGTATATGTAATTATAATTCAAAAGAATTTATATTATTGACATACACATCTATTGTCATAGCAACCACATATTTTAATTAAAACATTCCATTCTTCAAAAGGTATTCAAAGGACTATTTATGGAACAGAAGTTAATAATCTAATTAAAAAATGATATGCATTACATTTTGATAATTATTTTCTTGGTATCTATATTAAGAAGTTGGTTAATATTTTAGTTTGTCTCTGGTACATATTCAAATAGGGGTAATAAAACATTCTCACTGAATGGAACCTAGAGTAAAAAATTCAGAAAAAAGGCTGAGATTCTTTCCTGAGGTTAAATTATTGTTCTTTCAAAATAAAAGGACAAATGCACAGTTCTCAAAATTGACTACTACTGCTGCAAAGCAAAACCTCAAACTCATTTGACAGTTCTTTTCCAAATTTGCTTTTGGCTCAACTCTGAGACTACTATTCAGACTAAAAAGAAACATGTGCAGGCTCTTCTCAACTACAAGTACTCTGAAAATCTGGGTTTCCTCAGTGTGGAATTAGGTGATGGCTGGTTCCAATTTAAAAAAAAAAATCTCAATTCTCTAAGTTAATTCTCAGAGCTAGCAATTTACAAAGGTGTATAGGACTGCAAGTTTTGCTGCTCGAGTTAGCTACCTAACCATCCCTCACACTGGTTCCAAAGTAAGAAAGTTTTAACAATGCGATTTCACAACATCTTATAGAATAGTGGGTCTTAGATTTTTTGATTTTCCTAAATAGGTGGTATCCTTTTTTAAAATCTGGGTGACAGAAACAATGTTGTCAGCTTTTCATTTTGGTATGAAAGAGCTTTTTAGAGAATAAAAGCCAACATTAAAAGTATTTTAAAACTGAAAGAATATCTTGGCAACAGAAAAATATTTATGTGTGCATATCTATATCTATCTATCTATCTATCTATCTATCTATCTATCTATCTATCATCTATCTATAGCTAACCCTCACCGCCGAATATGTATCATAGAATGGCATGGGTCTGTAGACTATAAGTTTATTTAAAATCTTTTGGATTTAAAAAAATGAATTAATCTAAACAATATTTTATATTTCCTTTTTTCCCCCAACTTGTTCCTCAATTCCTGCCCTTTGTATCACTTTGGGAGAGAAGGCACAGAGCTGTTACACAGCTACGAATTTCTACCCCTGGCTACTTGATTTACATTATGGAACTTGCAAGATTAAGTTATGTCTTGCACAAAAGAAGTAGCACCAAACTGCCTTACCTGTCTACAGCACCACTTGCAGGGGAGGGGGAGGAGGCAGTTCTTTACGTAGGGCAGTGCAATGCTTCCTCCTCTTCTGCAAGCAGTGCTGGAGATGCTGTAGAAGGAAGGGCATCAATGAGAGGTGTAAAGAAATGGTGGAGGGCATGAGGAATGTTTGTTCAAAGTACTTTTTGCCTTCCTATGCCTAATATGGTGCCCAGGGTATAAATGTCTACACTGATAAAAGCGTACTTAATTACAGTATCCAAACTGGAATCTGCCAACTTAAAATGTAAATCACTGTGGGTTCTATTTTAAGGTCACTAGTATGCATAATGTATGTTGTAGTGGGTTCTATTTTAAGGTCACTAGCGTGCACAATCTAGCAGATAAAAAATATATCTCAAAAAAAGTATATTTTTAATTTCAGCCTTTATTCTGAATTTCTTCATTGTCTAGGTTCCAATAAAACATTGTCTAGGTTCCAAGAACAACACTGTAAATAATATTTCAATTCTAAAAGAAGAAATATTACCTTAAAAAGTTAACATTAAAAGTTAATCGTAAAAGTCTTTACAAAAAGACTTTTAGCTACAGTAGTTTTTAATTGGATTACATAGCTTTTAAGGTTTTTTGAACTCTAAGGTTATAAGATTTTTAAAAAATTAATATGCTAAAATTCAAGATAACTACTAAGATACTTACAAATTTTATATTAAGGATGCTACAATTTTAAAATAATATGACATTTATTTAAAATTCTTCTTAGAATCTCTATTGATAATAACTATTTAGTTATTTTTTTAAATTATTTAATAATCATTTCTGCTCAAGACATTTGTGGTATGTACTTTATCAACCAAATAATTGTATTCATAATAACTCATCACACAGTTCACTTAACTTGTCTAAGTGAAAATAAGATGTACCATATTTGCACTATATCGTCTCTGGGGCCATGTTTCAATTATTCTTCTAACAGTATAATGGCATACAATTAGTTTGCAATCTTGCCAAGAAAATATACACATTTTCTATGAAGAAATTAAAGCTAACTTAGTAGTAGTTAAGGAAGTTACTAAGTTTCCAAAACACTCATCTGCCTACAATAATCTATTGAAATATATTTAATACTGAGTTTACTTGATTATAACCTATTAACTGACACTTCTTTGAAAATTTATCAACTACTTTAAAATTTTTCAATAAAATTATGTAATCAATGCATATTCTTTATAAACTCTACAGGTAACATAATATAATTCTAGAATTCACTCCAAATCTCAACCATTTGTATATATAAAACTAAATAATGATAACATGCAGAGATGGGCATACTTAAAAATTTGAGAAGCTATTGATAAAAACATTATTTTATTAAATGTACCATACTACTTGAATGAACAACAAGCTTCCCAATCTTTTTTCAAGCAGTTCACTGTTCAAGTATGGTTTCAAACTGATAAATTACTAATAATGTTTTAATGTTTAATATGTCCAATCTGAATATGGCAAAAAATATTCAGCATCTACGTCAGAATTATTCATAGTGATGAAGGTATTTACATTTTTCAAATAAAGATATACATAGTCTTCCTGTAACAAATGTTTAGTATGTATTAGTATAACTGCATATATAACTCACAAGAAGAGATATGACCAAATTTTTTCATAGTGGGCTACTATACTGATTTCTAAGACAATCTAGTCAGCTTTTCCTGGTAAAATATTTTCAAATGAAACCTTATCAATTATCCCAGTTATTTTTTATAATATACCCAATATTGTTGTGGTTTATAATTTTGCTTCATCGCTAAAAATAACCAAAAAGTTCCTTGAAATAAAAAAATGTACCCACCTCACAAAATAACGTAAGCTTGTCATCTGGTAAAAGACCATTAGCTTCATCAAGCAAAAAATCCCTTCGAATGAATTTTTTAAAACCCCAGTCCTTTCCTTGTACAAATCGATATGCTCTTTGGCTTTCTGGTAGGAAACAGAATAGAAGTTTAAATAAAACAAGTATCCAAGAGACATTTTTGTAAATGATAACACGTTAAGTAAATATGAAAAAAATAGTAAGAAGTACAGATATTTGTTTTCATAAATAAAATGTGTCATCAGAGTTATATCAGGTAGAGCCAAATCATTCCTCAGCACTACTCAAATTTTGGCCATCAAATGAGCTCACTTTCAGATTCCTGAATCTCTAGGTAGAAGAAAATGCAGATCAAATCTTATGGATAAGAAAGATGTAGGCCCTATAATAATAAAGTAAAATCAAAATACACTGGCATGGGCATATTGTTCATCATCTACCATCAGCACCTGATTACAAACACAACACTCATTTCCTTCTTCTCCCTTTAAAAGCAGATGCTCTAAGTCATCAGGAAATCCTTTAAGCTTAAGCTTTCCTGGGGCATCCACCCCACTGACTTAAGTTTACTGAACCAGAAGACACCAATAAAGTGGTGAAAAGCTAAATAATGTCATTTATCATTCCCAGGTCTTTAGACATAATCCCCTAAAAACAATTTTCATAATAGTCTAAAAGACGGTTTTTAGTATAATTTAATAAATGTCTGTAGTAAATGTTTCAAATACCTATCATAATAGTATATAATAACTGTATACTCTGAAATAAACAAGATCCTCTACAGTTAAGTATTCACTATCTGTTACACAAAAAATTAATTGGAGGTGGAACCAGTAGTAAATATAATTAAAACACACTATGTTATGTGTGTATCCCATCAAAATTCTTATGATGAAACCATACTGTTACATGATTCCTGGGCTGGAAGAATAGGGAAACTGAGAGAGAAAAGTTAAAACAAAGCCAATTTTGCAGCCAGCTTGTAACTAACAAGCCATTATCTTCCCCAGCCAAGGACAGGAGAGTAAATAGTTAAAAAAAACAACAACAAATACCTCCCTAAGGAGAGAATGCAGATGGGGGGAGGGGGGAGGAAGAAGGGAGAGAAAGGAGAAAAGGGTAGTTTTACTCCCTAAGTAGAGAAGCCAGCAGTCTGAAGGCTTAAGAAGACAAAGTTGCCTGTTGCTTCTCATGATTTCTAGGAAGACCACAATAAAGTAAAAAAAAGGACCTTGAGAATTAACCTGTACCAAAATATTAAGCAAAGGTATTTTGAAACCTACAGACAAGAAGGTATATAAGCCTTGGACCCCCTCCCAACTTGCTCTTCAGAATAGCTGAGTGCCCATCGGTGCTTCATAGCCAGATGTATATAGGTTTGCTTGCTTTACTTCTTTAATAAAGGTGGCATGCTTTAATAAATGGGCTTTTCACAATTCAGTCAAGATCTCTCGTATAAATTCATTTATATGAGACAAGGATTGAAGTTGGGAACAGCCCTCTCCCACTGACTCAGGGTGCTGTCCGGGACACCTCTCTGGAGTTGGTGAGGTGCCTATAACAATCCCTCCCAATGTGATGGTCATAGTAAAGAAAGAGATCAGTGATTAGAACTAGATAAGTCCATGAGGGTGGAGTCGTCATGAATAGGAATGCTGTTCTAATAAAAGACCTCACAAAGCTCCCTAACTGCTTCCACTATGTGAAAACATGGGTAGTCCACAACCCAAAAAAGGATCTTCATCAGAATCGGACCACCGTGGCACCCTGATTTTGGACTCCCAGCCTCTAGATCAGTGAGAAATAAATTTCTGTTGTTTATAAGCTATCCAGTCTGTTGTATTTTGTCATGACAGCCTGGACTAAGACACTCCCACTGTCTTAAATGCCAGATAATGTGAGAATACATGTGAAACTGTATTACTTTGGCAATAAAATATATTATTAAATAGTATGTATTTAGAGGAGGTTATTTCGTGATGTTAATTTGATTCTGTGAAAACACTTAAAATGTGGCAGTTATGACATGTTGTCCTACTATGCACATTATACATCTTCTTTTGAAACTCGAGGTACATGATTTTAGCAGGTTACATATGGGAACAAGTCTTAAGGCTAAGAAAAACTGACTTCCTTTCAGTCAATGTTCTGGTTACTATTTAAAAAAAAAATTTAGAGACAAAATAGCAAGACATTAAAAATCTTTCCAATATTCTTCAGATTTTATCTAACAAATATAGCAAGGGAGAAGAGAAATATTTCCTGAGCACCTATTACATATGCCAGGCATGGAACCAGCAACTGTGTTTCCAAGTGACAAGTGAATGTCATTTTAGAACATGAGAAAACTAAATTTTTAACATTATTTTAAGTAATTTTACATGTCTATGAAGTCTAAAACTTACTACAAAAACTACAGCTCTACCCTGGTATTTAAAATTAATTAATAGCCAAATTAAATGTTTCAGGTTAAGCAGACCTCATTGGGAAAAAATATCCTAAGTTTTGCAGGCAAACATGCAGAAGTCACAACAGGTAGTTACCGAGTCTTGTTCAGTTTGCAAATCACTTACCCATTGCTTTTGTTTCTTCCCTTTTAGCGTTCAGAAGGGAAAATTTGAATTTTGCTCGAACTTCACTTTTTGGGCAGCTGACTAAAAGTAAATATAAGGACAAGTAGTCTTTACTTTCATCATCTAATCCTTTTGGATTTACCCTCAGGCACCTAAAATAAAACAACAGACTTACATGGTGGAATATAATACTTGAAACATTCAGAAAAGAGAGGCAATACTGAAATCATTTGTTAATATCCCAACAATACCCCCCAGTTCTTTACAATCTCTACACTATTCTTAGAAATCTAAGATAAAATAGACTAATATCTATTCAGGAACAGTAACAACAAAACAATAAAGTAGCCAATAATATCTAAACTCTAAGGCTTAGAGTCTAAGCAAACAAAAATCTTACCATTTCATTTTGTCACTTGGGCTAGATGAGAACGTTGAACTTTTTAACACTTCACCCATTTCTTCTCGACAAAAACTGAAGTTATTAATGGTCCACATGTAGGAAAATTTTACTACTTTAACCTAAGAGAGTAAAAAAAAAAAAAAAGCACTTTCATAATTAACTGTAATATGTTAAACATCCTGTCACATGCTAAATGACCCAGTCTTTTAACATTTCTAATAACTATACCAAAGTACTTCATAATAGTTTCAAAATGCTGTAAAATTTGTAAGTAACATAAAGTGAGGCATTTTTACAACATGTACCTGTGTATAACACCAGCTTTCTGCTATAGGAGCAGTAGACATATCTCCAGGGAGAGGTGGGGTGGGTTCCCGAGACATTGCCGCTTTATTGTAGTCTTCCAAGATTTATGCACTATCCCATACAGCTGAGTATTTTACTACAAAGAAAAAAGTTTCATTTACTGATCAAAAAGCTTAACTGACTAAATTCAGGGAAGAAATATTTAAACAATCATAAAACAATTGTATGGGAACATGTATTTCATTATTTTTATGATTTTAACATAACACTAGAAACATAAAGCTAATATTTGTAGATAAGATATACCGTATACACTAATAAAAGAGAAACATGCAAATCGACCATCCCTCCGCTATGCCCACCAGCCAATCAGAGCAAGTATGCAAACTAACCCAACAAAGATAGCAATTAATTTGCATTTGCAGGCACTGAGCAAAGACTGAAGACAGCATAGAAGGAAGCCAAGCTCTGCAAAAGGGAACAATGCTGCAGAGAGGCAAGTGGGGCAGTAGAGATGGGAGAGTTCCCTTCTTTGCTTAGCTCTGGCCAGAGGAAGCCCTATTCTTGCAGGAATCTTCCTGCAACGGGTCTCTAGTTATTGTATAAAGGTAAACTTACCAAAATATCATTTATCAAAAATTATATAGCTTAATAGCATGATCATAAATACAAAATCACAAAATAATATGGAAACAATATTTGATTCACCTTCCTTCATCTTTTTATTGACATATTTGCAAAAATCCAAAGGGTTCTAAAGTCAGAAGAGCTTTGGAAATTATAAATATTGTTCTACTCATCTGGTAGATGCCAAAATTTTGACCAATGAAACACAGATGGGACATAACTGTAATGCTGTGCAGTAAGAAATACATAGATTTCCACAAAAGTCTAATTTTGTTTCAGAATAAAATTCCATTCCTATCAATTTGTTTGCTACTAAAGACTATGTATCATATCATAGAATTTCTTCCCAGTTAGCTATTCTCATACTATATCCATTTGGATGCATAATTATTTCCTGATAACCTGGCCAGGACATTAATGTCTAGATAATTCAGGACATTAATGTCTAGATGATTTTGCTTTGTAACTTGGAAAGTCTATGAAAGAGCTGCATATGTAACTTTGAAGTGGTCAAGGTGGTGGTAGTGGGTGGGGGTGGTGGTGGTGTGACAATTACATTCCAACATAGAAACTCAAATCTGGAGAACCCTCTTTTCATTTAAGAATAATTAATAAGGAAAGAAAACCTCATGAGTCCTATAAAAATAAATTATTGGGGGGGGGGTGTAGGGAGAGGAAGGGGAGAATTTAAACCAAAATGGAGAAGAAAATATTTGCTATATGTCTATACCCAATGAAATAACAGTGTAAAATGAGGAAACAAAGACTGAAGAAAGCCACTTGAAATATACACAGAATCAGCTGGTTGGCTCAGTTATTGAGTGTCAACATATGAATCAGGAGGTCATGGCTCAATTCCCAGTCGGGGTACATCCTGGGTTGTGGGCTCGATCTCCAGTGTGGGGTGTGCAGAAGGCAGCCAATCAATGATTCTCTCTCATCATTGATATTTCTTTCTCTCCCTTCCTCTATCTGAAATCAATCAATAAATGTGTGTGTGTGTGTGTGTGTGTGTGTTTGTAAAACTACAAATGAAGATGTTAAAAATATGCACTAGACTTGAAGTTGTGGCCTCATGAAGCAGATGAACCTCGTTGAACCCTGCCCGATCTCTTGATGTTTCCCAAAGCTTTGTGCTTGTCCAAAGAGCCTATTATTTTTTAACTAGAGGCCCAATGCACAAAATTCATGCAAGGGTAGGCCTTCCTGTCCATGGCTGCCGGCACCAGTTCCCTCCGGCACCTAGGACCTGGGCTTCCCTCTGGCAGGCACCCGGGACGCGGGTTTCCCTTGCAGCCTCGGCTTCATTGGGAAGATCATCCAGTCTAATTAGCGTATTATGCTTTTATTATTATAGATAGTTCCCAGTAGTGAAGTATATGCCAATACTTGTCATTGTCCCAAATGGGAGGATGTAAGCACCTAGATACAGGATGACTGGCAGCCATGCTCTCAGAAAGCAGCTTTTAAAAGTATGCAAATATATAGTCTGTGGGACCCTGCTATCCATCAGAGCCAGGTGATCTGGAGGTGTCCCCTGGTGGCAATTGCAAAAATAAGGGCTCCAGATACTTATAAAAGCTTTTTTTCTGGAGCAAGGCAGGGGGAGAACACCAAGAGGTGTGCAGAACCTATAATCCTTGAAAGCAGCTATTTAGGATACTAGACCTGTGCCAAACGTAAGGCCTGCCCCTCAGGCCAAAGCTCTAAGACAAGCAAAGAGGTCTCGCCTGATCAGCAAAGCTTTTGGCTGTCTGTCCCCTTTCCTTCAGATCTGGTTTGCTACTTTTAGCTGACAAAGGCATAGTTTCCCCACCAGCAGACCCAAATCCAATTCACCTATCTGGCAGCAAAGATACTTGGTTTTTCTGCCTAGCCCCAGGCTGGTAAAACTGAAAATAGGAGTAGAAATATGAGTTGGATATTTCTCTTAAGCAAATTCTAATTTGCTAATAAGCAAATCGACCAAACGGTGGAATGACTGGGGAATGACTGGACACTATGACACAAACTGACCAGCAGTGGTAGATGCTCAACACAGGAGCTGCCCCCTGGTGGTCAGTGTGCTCCCACAGAGGGAGCGCTACCCAGCCAGAAGCCATGCTCATGGCTGGCGAGCACAAGGGCAGTGGTGGGAGCCTCTCCCGCCTCCATGGCAATGCTAAGGATGTCTACTGACGGCTTAGAAAAGGCTAATATGCAAATAGACCAAACGGCAGAACAACGAACAACTGAATAACTGGTCAGTATGATGTGTGCTGACCACCTGGGGGCACACACAGAACCTGGTTGGCACCAGCAGCAGGTGGCAGAGCATGAATAAATGGCAGGTGTCAGCCATGGCAGGATGGTGGAGCAGGTGAGTAAGGGCACCACACCAAGGTGGGCGCTGGTCGCTATCAGTGGGGCAAGCTTCTGCTAGTTACTGAATTCTTTGTTCCTGTGTGCTGTGGTCCCACCTAGCACTCACAACTGCTGCTGGTGCTGGCCCCACTTGCACCCACTGCCGGAGCCAGAGCCGCTGCTCACACCCACTGCCAGCGCCAGCCCCAATCGCTCCATGCCTTCAACAGGTGCGAGGGATCTGCTGTGGCAGAAGCAGGGCTGCTAAAAGACAGGTGATTGGGGGCCTTGAGGGGAGGGGCTGAGTGGGAGTGCAGAGGATGGGCTGAGACCCGCCCCTGTGCCCACCACAGCCTACAGCCCACAGTTCCTTTCAAGGTACATGAATTTGTGCACTGAGCCCTAGTTCATATATAAAAGCAAATAAAATAAAAGGTAAAAAAAAATTGTTTTCATTCCAGCTACTCCTTCAAATGTATAGTTGTGGGATGGGGACATGGAGAACGCTAGTGAGCAGACTGCATCAGTTATCACTTACAAGGCATTATGTACCAACACTATTTATTCTTCAGCAACTCTATGGGATGGGGTGGTAATAATCTCATCTTAACCATGAGAAAATTATTAGATTGGCTAGATAGCTTACTTTACACTTTAACCAGAAAGTAACTAAACAAAAATTTATCTGGCTCTAAACTCTATACTTTTCCACAGAATCATGTTAAATCTTCTAATGTTATTGAGCTAAAATAGCCCTTAACTATCTAGTGCCACTCTTAATTAACAGATGAGGATAAAGATGAAAAATAGGTTAGACTAGAAAAATAAACTGTCCATGCTTACACTTAGATAATTAGGAGAAAAAGATGTCCCAATATTCATTTCAGTGCTACTTCCAGTATTCTATTTTTTCCTTTTCTACAAAAGAAAAAAAAAAAAAAGATAGTAGAATATCCACTACAATGAGGATACTCAAGATTTCTTATTCTTGTTCCTACAGAAAAGCTTGCAGAAAGAGAGAGAACAACCAAAATGAGATCTAGAGGCTATAAAATAAGCAATCTATACCAATTACCAAATAAAGGATTCTTCCATGTAATTTTTTAACAAAATATTTGCATGTCAGAATTAATGTTCTATAAGTACATCATAGACACATCCATAGCTACAAAAATTATAAGAATTTCAAATATTCAGAAAACATATAAAGAATCTGTCAAAGAGCCATCTTTTCACCATTCTTGTATATCCAACCCTACCACTATCATCAAATCTTCTCCCCTACCAGAAATTATCTATATCCTGAATTTGTTACACCAATGACATTATGTACCACCACAGTTTATTCTTTAGCAACTCTATGAGATGGGGTGGTAATAATCTCAATGAATTCTTTCATATTCTTATTATTTTTCTGTGAATCCTACACTGTAGAGAAAGAAGTTCACAGATATGTTATAAAGTATATGCACATAGAATTCAATAAAAATGGCAAAGTGGGGAATTCTAAAACTCCATTCTTCCATAAAAGCAATGAATATGCTGACAGTAACTATCAGAATCAGTTTTTTGGAACTCCAGAATCAAATCAACACAATCTAGGAATTGCTTAATGAAGAATGCAGCTGCAGATTTTTAGGGTAAAACTGGTATTTAACATACTCACTTTCCAGGCTCCCCTCCCCAATTCGGCAATAGTCATGAAGACTTCGGCCTGGTGCAGACTGCTGTTACCAGCGGGAACTACACACATATTAGATCTAATCGAAAAGAACAGTGTGGTTGTGTGCTTTTTCTAGTCTGGTAAATCCCTAAAGATTCAGTTCAAGGTTTTAGCTTTGTTTCACCTTCCCTGGAGCTTCCGCAGAGGCAAAGCACTTCTGGACAGCAGTATTTGTTAAAAGCAATTAAAGGCAAATATATTAGCATAAGGAGTAAGTGTTAGGATTAGCAATAGCTAAACAGAAAAGCCTGGGAATAAAGAAGCTGAAAAATGTTGTTAGGGAAAAGGAGATTTGAAAAGTCCCCATACTAGAAAAACTAGAAGGCTATGTGCATACCTGGGACCCATCACATACTTGAAAAATATGTGAGAAGACCTTAACTATCAACTTGGCTGACCATTAAAATACCAAGCAAATAGAAAGTGAAGACTAATGGGCAAAA